GTCTGTGCTCCTCCCCTCTGAAGAGCCCGTTCACAGATGCTGGCGAAACGTTAGGAAACAAAACTTCCAGAACACGGCCACACAGCCCGGAAGACCCACACCAGCCACAATATTAAGTTTACCTCAAACATTATAGTTAGAACTGGCATAAGATGTTTTGTCGCTGATACATTACTCCAGTTATGATTGCTACAATTCAGATTGCCTTTTAACTACTGCCTTTAATATCTTCAATGTTTCTCCATGCTAACCCGAAAGGGAATAGCATAGTGGGTAGGCGTGTATGCACCTGGCAAGATAGTTGCCAGAAGAGAGCGGTGCCTACTGAACATTGGCCAAGAAGATTTTTTAAACCAGACATTAAGACAACCTTGTAAGGGTGCTGTGCAAGGAATGCTGAACAGTTAAGTTACTCTGTTTTTCCACTGAGTGACTCAAGAGAGTTTATTTAAAGAAATTGAGAAGATGTCTCTCTGTTGTTTTGCTGGCTGTGGTGCTGGAGCTGGGGAGTGGGGGGACTTTTTTGATAATAGAATTTTGTCTAAATGCATTTTCAGTTGATGGGAGCAGAACTGTGTTCCTATTGTTTATACATGTTAAGAAAAACATGCCATTGTCAAATTTTCTCCAGTTTGGGTAGTAGGAGTATTCAGCATGGACTACCACCGTACCTGTTCTTGTGGCCCCAGGTGAAAAATGGGAGAAGAGCAGCTATTTCTGAATGCTGCTGTTTCTATGGTGGAAGCTCTCCAAACTTTTGAATTTTGTTTGGATGGAACAAAGTAGTCCCAAAGGCTCCAAGAGAATCTTTCAAATTAGATTGTTTTCTTCTGAACTTCAAACAAAATGCATTTTCTGTTTGTGCACATCCCAGTAAGTGTGGCCCTGCAGTAAGTTTCACTCTTGTCTCAGTAGAGTGCAATGAATTGAATAATAAAAAAGATACAGCAGAGAAGCATGTTCCAAAAATGCTGTATATGTTAATTTAATAGAACAAAATCAGGAGACTGAAGCCCCATGTTTCAGCCCTTTTCAGATGATTGCTTAAAAGCCAATGGCCTGTTTAGGGAAACAGAATCAGCATTTCTAATACTTTAATCTCCTGCTTGAAGTTCTTTTCTCAAGTTGCTCACACTTCTTTTGTTTGGGGATATGTGCAGCTGAGCCATCCCCAATATAGCCAGAACATGAAAGTTTTTCATCCCACAACAGGAGAGTTTATGGTTCAGGATGTTGTGGGAACCCAGGCATCGTCTTAATGTGTGTGAAGCAAGCTGTCATGTGAAGCCAGACCAGAGCTGAGTGGCTTGGACACAGCCCACCAGGTGCTAAATTCTGGCCTGGTTGTACTACCAGCCTGGCCGACTGAGTAGGCAGGTGTCTGACCTAGTATGGGAGAGGGTCAGAGAATGACCCACTGGCCCTAGTGTCTACCAGCTGCTGTCCTTTTAAGTACCAGCTTCGCTTTGTTAAAAGGGCATTTCCAGCACAGAGAGCAGATGACAGTGTTTAACAGAACAGGCCACTTCCTGTGTGGTGGAGCTTATTTCATTCACAGGAAGGCCTGGAGCCCAATGCATTTTAAAATAATCGTTTTTTCCTCAAAAGCTGTTCTGAATATGCATTTGTGGTATTAAGCCTGCTGTGATTTCCAGTAACCAGTGACTCAATTCCGCTTCTAAAAGGACAAGCCGAAGGATGGTTTCCTGCTTGGCTGGGACCTCTTTCAGTAACCGCTTGGTTGCTTGTGAACCATGACAAGAAGCTCACAGAGAATGTCTTTTGGAGTTCCTCACGTGGAGCCTGATTTCCAGACTCTTCAAAAGTAAAAGAGACATGCTGAACAATAGGAAAGCAGCCAGGGTAACAAAATCAGACTGCGGCTACCCATGTGGAAGGTCTTAGGGAGAAATGCAACTCAGGGTTGGGCACCTGCTTCACAGAGCCTGGCTCAGTTCCCACCTCCTCTAATTCCATGATTCCTTTCTAACTGCCATCCTGGCTGGCCTTGATCCGGGTTGAAATCTCCAAGTATAGGTAGCCTATCCAGGTAATATCAGCCATCTGAGATGCAAAGCCTTGGAGGGATCCTGGCTGCAGGGCAGTAACCAGGCACATAGGCTGGGTTCACATGACAAGCTAAGTTAGACTAAGGTGAGGCTCAACAGTTTCTGGTTTGGCATGTTAGAGGAATCCAGCACCAGGTAATCATGTTAAGCAACATGCCATGTTAAAAATACAGTATGGTTTATTTGGGCACAGCACGTTGTGTGACAGAGCAATTGTTGTTTCCTAACACAAGGAACGTTGAAGATCTAGTTTGTTGTGTGAACCTAGCCTTTGCCTGACCTGCTTCAAAGCAACTCCCTATATGTTTTATCTGTACTCTTCTACAAAGGAGGAATTGCAGTACAGGCAGCCCGTTTTTTTTTTTTAAAGAACATGAATATGTGGAGAATAGAACATTGTTATGATGGTCCTTGACCCAAAAAATATATGAATAAGTGTTCTATCAGGGCCTACTAGCTATTAGATAAAAATGCAAAAATCTCTTTTCTAAGACTGTAACCTGCTTTATTTACATATGCTATTCCAGGATTTGGTTTTCTTCATTATGGTTTGTCTACATATATGAATCTAAATTATTGTTTGTATTTTGGTAATCAGCCACATTTATTCCTGATTTCTGGATGCTGGAGTATTTTAAACATGGATTGTCCTTATGCTTGAACCTAGAACTATTCTAGTATGTTATGTATGTATGTATGTATGTATGTATGTATTGTCAGGGGA